GTTCACACTGACGCATCAGGACAAGGAATTGGTGCTGTCCTGGTCCAAAATCAGCGGCCCATTGCCTTCATCAGCCAAGCTTTTTCCAAAAAGTCCCGACAAAAATCTGCATACAAGAGGGGGTTGATGGCGATCGTATTTGCTGTCCACAAGTGGAGCCATTACCTTAGTGGGCGCAAATTTATCATTAAATCGGATCAGCGCAGCCTACTGTTTCTGACAGATCAGCGTGTTAAGACACCCGAACAGCAAAAGTGGATTTCCAAGCTCTTAGGATTTTCCTTCGAAATCCATTACCAACCGGGAAGCTCAAACCAGGTGGCTGATGCTTTGTCTAGACGGGGAGAGGGGGCTGAATTAGCAGCTGAGTTAGAGGCCATTTCAGTAGTAAAGTTTTCAGATTTGGATGAGTTAGCAGCTGAAGCACAGCAAGATCCGAAGCTCCAAGCACTCATCCAAGACCTTCTTTTTGACCCTTCCAGCCGTCCTCATTATGGTTTTCGCCGTGGTTGCCTCACCTACAAAAACAGGTTGGTCTTACCCAAAAATTCGAAGTTCATTCTTAAGCTTCTAGAAGAATTTCACAGCAGTCCCCGGGGGGGGGGGGGGGGGGGGGGGGGGGGGGGGGGGGGGGGGGGGGGGGGGGGGGGGCATTCAGGCTTTTTCAGAACTTATAAGAGGTTGATAAATGTGGTGTTTTGGGATGGTATTAAGAAGGATGTGCAGGAGTTTGTACAGAGGTGTTCCATTTGCCAAGCAAACAAATATGTTGCTCTCAAACCAGCAGGTCTTCTTCAACCCTTACCAGTACCATCCCAGGTTTTTGAAGATATCAGCATGGACTTCATCGGAGGGTTACCGAAGGCAACAGAATAGGATACCATCATGGTGGTGGTAGACCGATTCACTAAATATGGACATTTTCTCTCACTGTGCCATCCCTACAGCGCTAAGGATGTTGCTGCCATTTTTGTTTCTGAGATTGTGAAGCTCCACGGATTTCCCAAGTCCATAGTTTCGGACCGAGATAGAATCTTTATCAACCAATTCTGGCAGGAACTGTTCAAAGCAGCTGGTACTTCACTAAAGTTTAGTTTTGCATACCATCCTCAAACCGATGGTCAGACGGAGGTCGTAAACCGCTGTTTGGGAACTTATTTGCGCTGTTTCTGTAGTTCACAGCCACGACAGTGGCATAAATGGTTATCCTGGGCAGAATTTTGGTATAATACCACATTCCACAGCTCCATTAAAATGACTCCATTCAAAGCCTTATACGGGAGAGATCCCCCAACTCTTCTCAGATTTATAGATTACCCTTCCGCTGTGGAAGAAGTCAACCAGAAAATGGCCACCCGAAATTCAATTTTGGATGAACTGAAGCATAACCTGTCGGTAGCCCAAGCACAGATGAAGGGTACAACTGACCTGCACCGTAGGGATGTTAGTTTTCAACCAGGAGACCAGGTGTATTTGAAGCTCCAACCATACCGTTTCAAATCCTTGGCCAAGAAACTAAATGAAAAACTTAGCCCCAGGTTTTACGGCCCTTTCCCTATACTAGAAAAAATTGGACAAGTTGCCTACAGATTGGAGCTGCCTCCTACGGCCAAAATTCATCCAGTTTTTCACATATCTCAACTGAAATGCAGCCTGCACACAGCAGTACCCATCCAGCCCCTGCCATCCTGCCTCTCCGAAGATATGGAACTCCTTGTTCAACCAGAAGAGGTGTTGTCTGTTCGCACTCTACTTAATGGCTCTCGGGAAGTCCTTATAAGGTGGAAAGATTTGGCTCTGTTTGAAGCATCGTGGGAGGCTTATGACGTAATTAAACTGCAATTTCCTCAATTCCACCTTGAGGACAAGGTGGCTCTTCATTGGGGGGTTTGGGGTTGGGTGGGGTGGGGTGGTATTGATAGACCTCCCATTAAACATGTTTACCAATACAAAGGGAATAAGGGAAAATCGGGAATGTGAGGTGCCTTGCTGNTACATTGTGGGCTTTGTCAATGTTAGTAATTCCATATTTGCTTGCTTTTAGAATTTTAGAGGTTTCCATATTTTTTTGTTATGCATTAGAGTTTGCACATTTGCTATTGTTGGCTTTATCAATGACAGAGTAGTTAATTTTAGATTTTTTTGGTGATGTCATTGACATCCATGGTATGGTTAGCTTTCCTAGGTTTATTTTAATTGTTCCATGAATGGATAAAATGCTACGAAAGTATTATAAAAAAGCTCTTGCAATAATAGTAATCTTTCATGTAAGACTTATTATTACATCGTGTGATATCACTTCACTCTTTATTATTAATGAATGTAATCAATTTCCTTTCGTTTAACTGTAATTCTATTTGATCACATATAGGTTTTTCTACCTCACTGATTATACATTTTGTTGGCTTTAGAAGTAATTCAATTATTTATGCTTATGTTAGAATGCTTTTCTGTAATGAACTTCTCAATAATGAATAGCAGTGTGTGGAGTATAGAGAAAAGAGAAAATTAATCAATAACTTGTCGTATCCAGAAGAATCAGATTGAGGTCTATGCATTACATTTTATGCTAGTATATCATTCATTGTCCTGATTCATGTAATTCAACCACCTATAGTCCAAAGCTTGAATATTAATCTGTTGCATTGAAATAGATGGGACCTCTCCTTGTGGCTGAATGATAAGCCCTTTAGCCACTAGGTTAGCTATACCTAGGGGTTTTATGTTCGAGTCATGGGAGAGGTAATTACCGGGTTCACCCAAAAAAAAAAAAAAAAAAAAAAAATAGATTGGATCTAGAGGAATGCATTTCAATGCTATAATGTATTGTCTTGGCTGGATTTAATGATAGAGGTCTTGCTGATTTTCTTGTTAAATTGTGACATAATGTGATCTTTGTCACAGAAACATAGCTCAGCTTGCCAAGGTGAAGATTATGAAAAAAAATGGGCAAGGGCAAGGGCAAGGGCAATGGCATGATCTTGAGATACCTAACAGGTAATATTTGTATTACAGTCAGTCTTAAACTATTTTCTTGGTTCCTTAAAAGGATAGATTTCTTTCAATTTGATGCAACTAAGTTTATATAATCACACTGAATGGTGTTCTCTCAATAAAACTATTATATGTGAAATTTAAACTGATGATTCTTACATGTGCCCTTTAAGTTGTGATTTTTCCCACATTTCTCCTGATTGAATTATGGTTGGGAAACCTTTGCATAATATATCCAGTCGTGAAAGGAAAATGATGTATAAATGTCTAAAATTTACTTGCAAACAATAATTTCTCCCTTAATTTGAGCTTTAGCATTAAGAACAAGAGCTTCTAACAAGGTATCTTTATTCATGTGGCAATATGCATACCATTCAATCATGAAAGGGACTTTTTCATAATACCTCTCATATTGGCATGCATTTGTTCTTTCAAATTGCACAGTACTCTTCAGCATCTGTTAGTTGCAATGTTTTACGTAAACAATTATGGCATTGGATTTTGTGATTTTTTCCGCTTTTTTTTTTTTTTTCATTGAATATTTTATTAACTACAGTTTTCTTCCTATTTTCCACTTTAGTTCTTCTTTCATTGCTGTAATTTTGAGAGTATGCATTTAAGTTAGTTTCGTTAACAAACTGCTATTGTTTTTTATGGTTTATATATACCACTTAGAATAGAAAAAAAGAATCAAATTATACTGAATTGACTTTCACTTCTTCTGTAAACAGCATCAGGTCAATTGTATGTCTTAACTTGCCCAGTTTTTCTGGTGGACTGAATCCTTGGGGAACGCCAAACAGCAATAAGACACGTGATGTTAGTTCCAAATATGTTGCTAGTATATCTGTGCTGAAGTAAGTAAATCTTTTATTTTTGCTGATTCAGACCTTTTGAAACACCTTTTTTATTTGACTTTGCAGAGAGACTTGACTCCACCATATGTTGATGACGGCTTATTAGAAGTGGTTGGTTTTAGAGATGCCTGGCATGGGCTTGTTCTACTTGCTCCAAATGGACATGGAACCCGTCTTGCACAGGTGAAAATCCCTGTCTAATATGCACAGAGGGGTCCCAGGACTCTTTCTTACATGAAAGAATCATGTATGTGAATCGCATCACTAAAAGTCACCTGATTTCTGATTTTTTATTAGTTAGTGTCCTTGCTTCTTGAACTCAATGATGACCTTGGTGATTCAGTAAGGGTTAATGTGAATGTCTTTATATATGTAGTACCTCATTTTCTATCTTTGATTTTCTTTGGAGATAGGCACATCGAATTCGCTTTGAGTTTCACAAAGGTGGAGCTGATCATACATTCATGAGGATTGATGGAGAACCCTGGAAGCAACCACTGCCAGTAGATGATGATACTGTTGTGATTGAAATCTCTCATCTTGGCCAAGTGAACATGCTTGCTACCCACGACTGTCGTTCTAGAAGTGTGCATGATCACCCATCAGTTAGCCATAATGACAGTGATGGAAGTTTTAGTGACGAAGACGACTCTGTCAAAGAAGGGGAAGAGAGGAGGAAGTTCGGTGCAGCAGAAACATTCAAGATCCCAGATGAGGTTGATATTTCTCATCTAAGTTAATATATCATTTACTTTATATTATTATTTCAACTTCTTAACTAGGAGATCCAATAATGATTTTTATTTGGTTTTCTCAATTGTTATTGATGACTCTATTATTTGAATATAAATGATGTGAGCTTAATAGTCATAAACTGATTTATTACAGGAAGATGGGAGGATGTTTCAATTTCTTCTTTTCTTTTACAGTATAGACGGTAGGGTTTTTATATCCGAAAAGAATGATATGATCCTGATGGTTATACAGTTGGAGACGGTGAGGAGTTAAAAATATTTAAACTTATTCTTCTAAACATGGTCTCAATCATCATATTTCAAAAAAATAAAAGGGTGTGCACTAAAAACTAAAAAGATGCAAAGCCCTCAACTCAAAAAATGGTAATGCTGATTTGTATGCATCTTTAGAGAATTTATGAACAGAAAATTACATTTGGCGAAAGCAAAGCAAGTTTCCATATAAGCATGGCGAGACAGGATGTATCTTAATCACCATATTAAAAACAGTAAACAGTAAACTAAAACAAGAAAGCCCACAAGCTAAAACACGGTGCCCAGACCATTGAGGCTCCCACTCTACCTCGAAGCGAAACAAAAACGGTACTGAAGCTTCACAACAGATTATTTAGCACTGTGGGAGTGCTACACGTGTTGAATTACTGGCGTACATATTGGTATTCTCCAACACATTTTGTTATGGCCTCGTTTGCCTTCTGTGATTCTGCCCTTTCATCTCTCTTCTTTTTCTCCCTGAAAGCCCCAAACAATTTTAAAAGCAGTTTGTGGAGCAAACAGAAAGCAGATGGATGCTACAAAGTTTATGAGAAATAAATTACAGGGATGACACGGAAAGTTCCAAATACTGTCAGGTTTGTACTCTACAGAGGTCCAGAGGTTAAACTGATGTATAGTTTGATGAAATGTGCATTTTCAACCCCTAATCTTTCTGGTAAAAAAGGGAATTTGAACCAAGTCCAAGACCAAGGTTGCATAGGAATAGGATTAAACCTCTAATCAGTGAGCTGTTCATGAAGCTTCTTCCTCTGGTCTATGGTTTGCTACTGCAATCCTTGCAGGAGTTTATGTATGTTAATGTTAAATCTCTTCATTTTTAAGATTTTCAAGTTTTGAAAGCTTCAGTCCTCACTGATGTACTAGTGTCCCATTAATATATACGATGGTGTACACCAGTCAAATAAAATAAGAGATCATGCCACATTAGAGAAGAAGACAATCCGAAGTATGAGTTGAGAATTGTTATTTTACCTCTCTACATACTCCTTCAGCAATTCTTTTGCTTGAAGCAGCTTGGATAGCAAATTGCGATACACATCAAGGTCCCGATCTACACTTCTTTTGTTAATGTTTAAAGCTGTGCAAAGCTGATGCATAGCAACCATCTGTCAGAAACTTCCATTTTCTATATTTTTGTAAGGAAATTCATTCGAAGTTTGAATTTCCTTCTGTATAAGTTATCAAGACACAAAAATTAATACAAGAATAAAAAATTGAAAGCATGTATGTAGAGAGAGCTTCTTTCAGAAGCTCAGTTGCTTCAGTAAAATGATACATACTTCAGTGGAGATATGATGTTTATATGTGAGAAGTTAATTGTAACTTAGCATCATGCCATGTCAAAAATGTCAATTTCAACCAGGAAATGGTATATAAAACCATATGCACATCCAATCCCCCCCATCTGTCCAAAAGAAAAGACCCAAAGAAAAAAGTACACCCATGCTCAAACTGGCATGTATGATTGCGGGCTATGGGTTAGAATCTTAGATATAACTGCCAAATCAAAATCCATTTGAAGGTCAATCTTCCAAACAAAACTGAATTATTCTGTGTACTTTTCAGTAAATTATTATGGTGCTTATATCTATCTGAACCTATCCTAACACATGGCAAGCCACCATTGAACTCACTCATGGAAGGCAAGAATTGACCTAGCAGGATGAAAGTATGATAATTTGATCAATCATCACAAATTATTTCCAAAACATTCAAGCCTCTAGGAGTTTTAATATGTCTTAGCTGTCAGGTTTACGTTACTTGGGATTTGGGAATGTACAGCTCTGCACACTCCCATGATACTTCCAGGGTATCTAATCTCTCCAGAAGCATGGGAGCAAGTTACATCACTAGCTCAAGAAGTATATGCAGAGAAAACCTCAAGTTCTAATCTAAATTCAAGGGTTAAATATGTCTTTTACTTGGGCACTAGGCACTAGAGGAAATTTTAGACCCAAAAAATATACAGATTTAAGGAACAGTACAGTAGGTTTAATTTTATTGTCAAAACTCTTATGTGTATGCCAAAGATCATACTCTTCATAAATAAAATTCATGTCCATTATATCAGGTACATCAAAGCAAATATTTGAGTATCTTTAATATAATGTTATCAGACATCATGTGATACGGCTTAGGATGGTAGGACCAAACTACAATAGCTATTTATATAAAATGAAAGAAATGATCTTCTTCAATTAGTGCAGGTTTAAAATAACATCAAGCAAGATCATGCAAGTATTAATGGTGAGGAAATAGATGAATCTTCACCAGGCAATACAGGGGTTGCAATGATTTTAAGAAGGGATTGAAGATCAAACCTTTTCCAGTACTGTGGGTTCAGTTGCATTTGCCAGCTCAAGAAGGCGAAACATACCAATGGCAAAGAAACGGCTATAGCTGAAACTCCCATTACTTGCCCTTTCTGCAATGTCCTTTAATATACCCTCTACTTCTCCTTCTCTGGAGGAGAACTCAATTAATGAACTGGCATTCTGAGCCCGGGCCCATTCCTCCAATTTTTGTGCATCAGTTCTATAGGGCATAACATACAAAATTATTTAATCCAGATAGAACTCCTTTTTTTCATCCATCCTTGTAAGCAATCAATTTGATGTGGCACAGACATCCTTAAGGACATTAAGCACTTCTAATTTAGCCACACATAGATTGAAATTTTCTGTATTGTATCTTCTGAAGAGTAATAATGGTGCGACAGAGCATATTCACATAGTCACAATTTTATTCCGCATATCTCCAAATTTTTAAGGATTTAATTCGGGTTCTCAGAGCAAGCCACACTTTGCTCAACCTTTTTCCTTTAGCTGGAACTTTTTTTATCTGTTCTACATACTTTATATGTCATTTATTTTTAAGAATTCAATCATTTCTCATTTTCATTTTCTAAACAGATGACATTATAGTCTTTATTAAAAATATGAAGAAAAAGAGATCCCAACATAACAACAGGAAACTTGGTAGACAGACCTGTATTGCTCTGGGTCCTCATTCAGCGCCTTTATATATGCCTGGAAGATGATTTCTCGATCCTCATCACTTGGGTATCCTTCCATGAGTCGATCATAAACAGTAACAAAACCAAGGGCAAACACAGCATCATAACGGTATGTCCTTTTGTACCTCATCAAATGTTGTTGGACAATCAGTTCCTGTAGAACTGCGTTGTAGATGCTGGGTATTGGTTTCTTATATGCCTTTAGAAAATTCAACTTTGTCTCAGACACAGTTGGCAGATCTGAAGGTTATGTAAATTAACAAATCATGACAAAGAAATGATTTAAAACAAAAATAATAAGATCAAAGATAGAAAATTTTGCACTTCTAAATGCCAAGTGTAACTGAAGGAGAATGGATTAAGATTTAAGAGTACAAAAACCTGGGCAAACTTGAGTATACAGTACCACAATCAGTAATCATTTGCTTCAATGCAGGTGACTTGGTTTGGATGAAACATTATGCAATTTTTTGAAAGTACCACATATGCAAACCAAAATGACACCATGTATGCCAATCAAAATAGTCCAAGAAAATTCAAAATTTTAAATCCCACTCCAACGACCAATATAGGTGCAAATGAGCTGAGTTAACCAGAACTCTCGGCTTAATGAACTTGGCCATAACGAATAAATCAATAAACAATTTCAAGCTCAAGATTGAGTAGGAGCCTAAAATTGGCGCAAATTAGTATTGCATTTGCATGCAATATATTCATACATACACGCACAAACTACATGTAATATATAAACTGATTGTTTATCAGGCTATCCAGCTGAACTTTACAAGTATATTTAAGCTCAATAAGCAAACTAGTCTCGAATCAAGCCAAGGAGATTCAAAAAATTTGATAAAATCCGAGTTGATTTGGCACTCCTCAACAACACAACGCATTACGATTGCACAATTTTACATAAGAAGTTTTCTCAATTTTATTTCCTTAATTAATTTCGACATCCTTAATTAATTTCGACAGAAACGAACAGGTCAAGTTTTCTCAATTTTATTTCCTTTATTAATTTCGACATCCTTAATTAATTTCGACAGAAACAAACAGGTCATATCAAAACAAATGAATAAATGAAATTTTTGTAGCACTAAGCGAGCATTGCAAATAAAAAAGAAATTATAATCAAGTTTTGTTTTTTTTCCCCCACCTATTTAGCTATAGATAACAAAGAATTATGATAATAATTTTCGTATTCATTCACTTGTGATAGACATAAAATTTGAAATCAATATTAACTTTAACAAAAATAAATAGATAAAAACTCAGTCACTCACCAGTAGCAGCAGACATGCATTGAATAACCATATGAGAAGCTGAATTTGAAGCTCTAACACCGGTAGAGTGACATAATACACTCGTACGGAAACGAAAACCTTCGAAATTCGAAGCTAAATAGCGTATCGACGGAACATTGACCTTCCTCTCACAGGACGATTGACCGATTGCTGTAAACGCCACTGAAGTAACAGAAGCCATTCTAATTGTATAAATGTGTATGTTAATGTAGAGAGAGAAGTGGAGATTTTTGCATTTGATTCTGTTTTCTTTTTCTTTGATTTTTTTTTTTTTTTTTTTTTTCTTGCTCGGAAAGTGAGAGAAAGTGAGGGCCAAGAAGTAGCCTAGGCTTATCCAAGTGTATGAAATGTGGATTTTTGCCATTTTGTTGACGAGAAGCTAAGTTGTTGACACGTGGCCCTTGTTGGCGATGGCGATTTCTGATTTGTTACATCTTGCTTGCTTTGTGGTTAAGGTTATTCACTTATTTGGAAGGAAAAGCAACTAATGGGCCTGTAATTCCCCAAACGGCGTCGTGCGTTTTGTCTTCCACGAAACTATAAATTTGGGAGATATACCGCATTCGTATCGTTTGAAAGTAACTTCTTTCTTTTTTTGTTTAAATTCAATTATTGTCCTTACATTTCCTAACAGCAATTTATTTAAAAAAAAAAAATCTATATGTTGTGCCAAAAATACATACTGATGTCAGCACTACCAATTAGAGTTTAACAAACACTTAAACACAAAGTGGTATTAACTGTCAAAACCAAAACTATCTCAAAGAGATATTTTATATCAATCTTATCTCATTTTAAGATAAAGATTAAGAAGTGGTTCTCACGTGTCAAGATAACTTACAAAAGCATTTATTACATTGATCTCAAAGGTATAAATAGACACTTCTCTTCATGAAAGAGGGGGCTGGGCATATGAGAGTTGGGCACAAATTTGAGTTTCGTTATTTTTCTCTGTAAAAGTATTTCTCTATTTTTGTACGCCTTACAGGAAATATCAAAAAAATAGTCGAAGAATAATAAAATAACAGTGGATATATGATTCACTTTAAGCATCCAAACCACTATAAAAATCTCTCATGTCAATCTATTATTTATGTTTTTGCAAACAGATATAATCTCTACACCATAATCAACTCTCATAATCATTCACGTGTAATTTCTAAGACTTTCTTAGCACTTTACACGTGCGAGTCGTTGGTGTCAAAATCACGCATCAAAAGTTTAGCACTAGAGGAAAGGCATGATTCACATCAGCTCTCAATATTTTTCTAGATAAAGTCTGAATTTGGTGAAGTGGTAAATGCAAGAGTTGTAGCCCTTCGAGTTAGCTTTCCAATGGTCCAAGAATCATCAAAATTCGAGGTCTATAGCTCAAGTTATCGTTAAAATACTGAAGTCTGTTCCACATCAGAGCACTCAGATCTCGTGGTCAGATTGCTCTGATCTTCAGCTTCAGATCGCGCACTCAGATCTCCCAGATCATGCGCATCAGAGCTCTCAGATCGCATGGCTAGATCTCACAGATCGTATGCATCAGAACTCTCAAATCACGTGGCCAGATCACTTTGATCTTCAACTTTAGATCGCGCGCTCAGATCTCTTAGGTCACGCGCATCATAGCTATCAGATTGCGTGGCTAGATCGTCCAGATAGCACACATCAGAGCTCTTAGATCACGCTGTCGAGCGGCCAGATCGTGCTTCCAAGCACTCAGATCGTGCTCCCGAACGGCCAAATCGTGCTTCCAAGCACTCAGATTGTGCTCCCAAGCAACTAGATCGTGCTCTCGAACGGCCAAATCGTGCTTCCAAACACTGAGATTGTGCTCCCAAGCAACTAGATCGTGCTTCCAAGCACTCAGATTGCACTCCCGAGCGACCAGATCGTGCTTCCGAGCACCCAGATCGCACATTCAAGATCGTTGAGATCACACATTCAAATTGTGCTTCTGAGCGACCAGATCGCACTTCCGAGTGACCAGATCGTGCTACCAAGCACCCAGATTGCACTTCCAAGTGCCTAGATCGCTGATCTCGAGTTCTCAGATCAAGCTTTGCGCTTTCTGATCGAACTCCTTGTGTTCTCAGATCAAGCTTCACGTTTTCTGATCGAACTCCTTGTGTTTTCAAATCAAGCTTCGTGCTTTCTGATCGAACTCCTTGTGTTGTCAGATCAAGCTTCGCGCTTTCTGATCAAACTCCTTGTGTTCTCAGATCAAGCTTCGCACTTTATAATCAAACTCTTTTTATTATATGCTTTCTAATTGAACTCTTTGTGCTCTCAGATCGCAAAGAGATCTCAAGCTCTCATATCTCAAAGAGCTCTCGAGTTCTCAAATCAAGCTTCACGCTTTCTGATCGAACTCTTGTTTTCTGATTGAACTCCTTATGCTCTCAAATTGCTAAGAGTTCTGGAGTTCTCAGATCGAGCTCCTTATGATCTCAGATCGAGGTTTTTATGCTCTCTAATCGAGCTCCTTATGCTCTCTGGTTGAGCTCATAAGCTCGCTCAATTGCATGAGATCACGTGCATAAATCGAGCTCCTTAAGCTTTCAGATCGCGCACTCTAGATCCAGCTCTGTGCCTTGAGATCGTGCATCGGATCTTTTAGATCACACACCCCAAGCTCTCAGATCGAGCCCCTATCAGATCGCGATTAGCTCCTAGCTTTCAAATCGCGAGCGATCAGCTCTCAACTTTTGAGATTACGAATAGCCTCAGATTGTGTTCTTAGCTTTCAAATCGCAATCAGTTCTCAGATCGCAACCAGGTGCCAGTGTTAGAAAAAACGTGTAGAAAACTCAAAACAACCCCAAAACGTGCCGAACTGATGGATTTTGGCCTCGAAAATGGTCCTAATAAGGTTTCCTAATTGTCACGACGTAGAGCTCGAAACAAGCTTTCTGTGGATATCTTACGGGCTCCAAAACTCCTCTTGGATCAAAAGTTATAGCTGTTTTAAGTTGGCTTGTCTGTTTAGGACCTCTAAGCCGCGCGTTTGGGCTTCTGACGTTCAGCTCTCTCCAGGAATTCATCTACTAGACATTTTATGTTAGTTATCAGATCGTGATCAGCTTTGGATCGCTCTAAGCTCTCAGATCGCAATCCTAACTCTCAACACTCGATCATGTCAGGCATAGTTCGAGCTCTTTAGTTCGAGACTGTAGCCTATAGTGTAACTACCGTTCATATCTAATACATGAGTTTTTGAAGTGCAATTACACACTCCAAAAACTAGGGGGTTCTGTTGTGCCAAAAATACATACTGATGTCGGCACTATTAATTAGAGCTTAATAAGCACTCAAAGACAAAGTGATATTAGCTGTTAAAACCCAAACTGCCTCAAAGAGATATTTTATATCAATCATATCTCATTTTAAGATAAAAATTAATGATTGGTTCCCACGTGTCAAGAGAACTTGCAAAATCACTCATTACATTGACCTCAAAGGTATAAATGGGCACCTCTCTTCACGAAAGAGAGGGCTGGGCATATGAGAGCTGGACACAAATTTGAGCTTCATTATTTTTCTCTGTAAACAAAGTATTTCTCCATTTTTGTACGCCTTATAGGTAGTATCTTAAAAATAGTCAGAGAAAAATAAAATAACAATGGATGTAGGATTTGCTTTAAGTATCCGAACCACTATAAAAATATTTTTTGTCAATCTATTATTTATGTTTTTGCAAATATATATAATCTCTGCACTATAATCAACTCTCATAATCATTTACGTGTAATTTCTAAGACTTTCTTAGTACCTTGCACGTGTGAGTCGTCAGTGTCAAAATTACACTTCAACACTATAAATTAAGATAATTCTTATTAAAATTCCTAAGTCAAAAGTGGTGTTGGGATCACAATTTGGACAGAACCTTTACATAAAAGAGAATAAAAATGGTCATCAGTATCCCTATTTGAATCCTATTTGAATTTCTATACTCAGATTCTCATGACTAATTGATAGTGGAGTTAATTCTTAATTCATAAAATCTATAATTTATTATTAATTCATGTTGATGCTTAATTTTAAGACTAACGACATTGTACGTACAAAGTGTTAAGAGAGTCTTAGAAATTATATGTGATATGATTGTGAGAGTTAATTATGATGCTGAGATGATATATGTTTGAAGAAACATAAATAAAAGATTGACAAGAGAGATTTTTATAGTGGTTCGGATGCTTAAAGCGAATCCTACATCCATTGTTATTTTATTATTCTCCAACTATTTTTCTGATATCGCCTTTAAGACGTACAAAAATGGAGTAATACTTTGTTTATAGAGAAGAATAATGGCAAAAGCTCAAGTATATACCCAATAGCGGATCCAGGAATTTCTTTTAGGGTGGGCTAAAATAAAAATTTATTATACATTACTATTTTTGTCCATTAATATTTTTGTTAGGGTGGGCCAAAATATATAAATTATACATATTAATATTTAAAAAATATATATTTCATGGCCCACCCAAAAAGTGGCTGGATCCGCCCCTGTATATACCCAACTCTCATCTGCCCAGCCTCTTTTTTTTATGAAGAGAGATGCCCATTTATATACCTTTGAGCTTAACATAATGAGTGCTTTTATAAGTTGTCTTAACACATAGAGATCTCTCATTCATCCGGATATTTTATTTTGATAAAAAGTGGGGCATATGTTATATAATATTTATTTGAGACGGTTTAGGTTTTGACAGCTAATACCATTTGCCCTTAAGTGCTTGTTGAGCTTTGATTAGTGGTACTGATGTCAATGTATATTTTTTAGGTATAGCAATTCAAGAATTCAAAATGCTATGCCAAGATGTTTCATTTTTATATTAAAATTTAAAAGTAAATATTTCAATATACTTTAAAATAATTGTAAATCAATTACAATAGCAAAACTAGATATTTAGGCCCAAAGTTTTTGTAGTGGTCATGGACGGTGGACTATCTAAAGCTCACCAGAGGCCTAATTTGGAACATAACTTGTAGTATAAGCCTACAAGCTAAAGCATGGGTAGCTATAAATGTGTCAATCTTATCCAAACGACTCAAACGTACGTGTCTATGGTATCCATTTATTCACATGGATATGTGCCTTGTGCTCCAATGAATGTTGGTGCAACGTGCTTAGCATCTTTCTAAATCTGTACCAGTCTTAATTAATTATAGTAAAGTAATAAGGAGAAATAATGGCAAGGACAATTATTTATATTTTAGTAGTCGGGACTGTAATAGTGTAATTTAAAAAGAGCGCTCCATGAAAGATTGAGGCTGATAAAAGTAAGGACTTATCTTCTCTGTCATTCATTGTTGTTCCTTTTTATGACCGAAT